CAGGCGCTGGTCCCACAGGCCGGCGTTCCCCGGGGCGGCCGGGGGCAGGGACAGGAAGCCCAGCGCCCCCAGCCGGTAGTTCATGGAGGCCACGATCACATTCTCAGTGGCGGCTAAGAAGCGCCCATCATAGACATCGAGGGAGGCTGAACCAGAGACAAAAACCATGCCATGGATCCAGACGAGAACGGCGGCCGGCTCACGGGGCCGGGGATGGGGCACCCAAACGTTGAGGAAGAGGCAGTCCTCGGACTGTGGTATTTTGGATTTCCACATGTAGGCATCAGGGTAACTAGGAAGTGGAGGCTGGTGGCAGGTGTTGCCGAAGCTGGTGGTCTCCAGGACGTGGCTCCAGGGCTGGTGGGGAAGCGGTTTCTGGAAGCGCAAGGCCCCCACGGGGGGATCGGCATAGGGGATGCCCAGGAAGACCGTCACTGTGCTGGAGCCGGCTGGGAGGCGCTTGCCCCGGATGGGGCCACTGGTGGTGAGCACCTCAGTACCGTCATCATCGGAGCCAGAGCTGGGGTCCAGAAGGGAGAGGAGGAGCAGGCAGGGAAGCGCGGGGAGGAGTCCCAGCATCACGGCAGCTGGAAGGGAAACCCCCTCAGAGGGAGTTACAGGGAACGGGATACGGGGTCTTTCCCCTCTAGGGGGTGCTGGCCAGGGCCGGCTCTTGGCACCAGCAAACCAAGCACGTGCTTGGGGCGGCACATTTTCAGGGGCGGCATTCCGGCCATCTTTTTTTTTTTTTGCTTCCGGCGGCAAAAGCCTAGAGCCGGCCCTGCAGCAGCAGAGCGTCATGCGCGGGAGCGCCCTTGGGCCACTGCAGTTCGTGCTGTGGGGGAGCAGTGCCTGCACCTTGTGGCTGGGCCGGGCAGGCTCTGAGCGGGGGAGACTCGGGCTGGGGGCCGCCCTGCGGGGCACACGGAGCCACCTGCAGGTGCCGCAGGGCGGCCGCCCCCCAGCGCCGCAGCCAGGGCTGGGCGAAGCGGCCCGAGCCACCTGGGGACTGCGGCAGGGCGGCCAAAAGCAGCAGCAGCAGTGGGGCCATAGAGTGCGGGGCCTGTGTCCCACTCTCCGGGGCTCCGCTCCCTCTGGGGCTACCCTGCCCCGGCTCCTCAGCCCCCTGCCGGGGCGGTCCCCTGGCTCTGCCCTCCCGGGTCCCGGCCGGTCCTGGAGGCGGGAGCCCTGGCTGGAGGGACCCTGGGCTGAGGCACGGCCCGGGAGCCAGGGCCGGCTCTAGGCACCAGCGCTCCAAGCATGTGCTTGGGGCAGCACTTTCCATGTGGTGGCACTCCAGCCCCCCCCCTTTTTTTTCTTGGGGCGCAAAGAGCCGGGAGCCGGCCCTGAACCAAGCTGTTCCCTGTCAGCTGAGGCTTTCAGGCTGCGCTGGAACTGACGCTGCAGTTCTGGCTGCAGTCGCTAGATGGCGCTCATGGCAGCCGGAGTCGCACAGGCTGGACGGCAGTTCAGGCTGCCCGGCCGCTGGAGAGCCGGAGCGTCATCCCCGGAGCTGAGCCCGGCTGCGGCGGCGAGAGGGGCTCAGCTCCGGGGGATGATGCTCCGGCTCTCCAGCGGCCGGGCAGCCTGAACTGCAGCCCAGCCTGGGTGTGAGGAGCCGGGGAGGGAGGGAGGGAAGTGGGGCCCGGGATGCAGGGAGGGGGGAGGCGTCCTGCTGCCGCTGCTGCTCTGAGTCTCCCCAGGGCGGCGCGGCGTTTCCCCGCCCGAGGGGGCTGTGCAGGCGCCGCCGGGCTGGGCAGGGGGCGCGGATCCCGGCTCGCGCGCTGACAGGGCGAGTGGCTGGGCAGCCTGAGCTGCCGCCGCCCCCTCCTGCCCCCGGACCCAGCCCACCGCGCACCTCCCCCGCTTCAGTCCTGCGCTGCCTGCCCTGGGTGGGGAGAGGCAGAGCCCGGCTCCGAGCGGGGCAGCGGGGGATACTGCCCTGCCGGGGGACCCCCGCGGCTCAGGCACCTGGGGGTCAATGTCTATCCTCTCGGCTCTGCCTGCACGGGGCTGGGGAAGCAGCTGTCAGCACCTGCCCCTCTCAGCCCTTGCACCCCCCATCCCGCTCGCAGCCCCTCCACTTGTACCTCCCCCCATCGCTCCTTCGCCGCACCCCTTCCCCTTGTACTGTCCCTTCACCCGCACCTCTCCCCTTGTACCCTCCCCCAGCCCTCTCCTCCCCCCTTCCCCTTCCCCTGCACCTCTTCTCCCGCAACCCTCCTGATACCCCCTCTCCTCCACGAGTACATCACACCCCGCCTCTCTGCCAGTGTAGAGCCCCCAAGCACCCCCACACCTGCTCCTCTGCCTGAACCCTCTTTACTAGCTCCCCATCCCTTTCCGGGTACAAGGTTTGAGGGTTAGTCCCTATGCCTTCCATGTGCATTTGGAGCACTAAAGATGGGGTTGCGGGGGCGAGATTTATACTAAAGTGAAATAAAAATAGGAGAAACGGTTTGATCC